CTGTTTAATAGAACAGGTTTCAGCATAATATATCTGTGCTCATTAATATTCTAGGAAGGTTTTTAATTGATAAAATTAATTTGTTTAAAAAATAAGCTAGAGATTGCGAGGCTGAGGCAGGAGAATGGCGTGAACCTGGGAGGTGGAGCTTGCAGTGAGCCAAGATCGTGCCACTGCACTCTAGCCTGGGTGACAGAGTGAAACTCTGGCTCAAAAAAATAAGCTGAAGATTATAAGATGAGGGAATTTCTAGACTGTACATGAAAAAAATAATTTTGGGGGCTGGGCGTGGTGGCTTACACCTGTAATCCCAGCAGTTTGGGAGACTGAGGCAAGTGGATCACCTGAGGTCAGAAGTTCGAGATCAGCCTAACCAATATGGTGAAACCCTGTCTCTACTAAAAATACAAAAATTAGTTGGGCATGGTGGTGCGCACCTGTAATCCCAGCTACTTGGGAGGTTGAGACAGGAGAATTGCTTGAACCTGGGAGGCAGAGGTTGCAGTGAGCCAAGATCGTGCCACTGCACTCCAGCCTGGGCAACAGAGGGAGACTCCATCTCAAAAAAAAAAAAAAAAAAAAAAATATATATATACACACACACACACACACACACACACACACACACACACATATATATATATATATATATATTTGAAATTGTCACTAATTTTGAAAATGAAATTCAAGATTAGGTTCCAGGAGAGTTTTGAGAACCTGTGCATAATTTGTATGTATGGGCATTCTTCTGGGAGAATTTCCATGTGTTTACAAACCACTGGTATAAAAGGAAATTAGATGTAGAGTAAATAAGTAAATAAACATGCTTTAATTTCAGTATCTCTCTCTTTATCACCTGATGAATGTAGTAAATAGTATTGTTGATATGTCCTTCTCTTTACCATTTTGTTCTTTAGGAAAATTATTTTGTAGAGTGAATTTTATTGATAAAGTGAAGAGTTGCTTGAGGTAAATAGTATGTTAGGATTGTCCTGAATAAAGAGCCTTTTTTAATCTTAGAAAAAAACCAATGGGGACATGTCAAAGGACACACATGTCACCATGGCTCTACTGCCAAAGATAGGACAATTTGATCATAAAAAGGAAGGATGAATGCAATTGAGTGAAACATTTGGAACATATAAAAACCCACAGGTTACTGTCACAAACATTTATGAGATAACTAGGGAAATGTGAACACTGCCTGGGTATTTGAATATATTAATAAGTGACTGGCCAGGCATGGTGGCTCATGCCTAAAATCCTAGCACTTTGGGAGGTTGAGGTGGGCAGATTGCTCAAGCCCAAAACTTTGAGACTGGCCTGGGCAATATAGCAAGACACCCATCTCAATTTGTTTATATATTTTTTTTCATTTAAAAAATAAAAACAAATTTAAAAAAGAAGTTATTAACTTTGTGGTGTGATTGTGGCAATGTGGTTATATTAAAAAGAATAAGAGGACTGGGCACGGTGGCTCATGCCTGTAATCCAAGCACTTTGGGAGGGCAGGTCGGGAGATCGTGATCATCCTGGCTAACGCGGTGAAACCCCATCTCTACTAAAAATACAAAGAATTAGCTGGGCATGGTGGCACGTGCCTCTAATCCCAGTCACGTGGGAGGCTGAGGCAGGAGAATCACTTGAACCCGAGAGGTGAAGGTTGCAGTGAGCAGAGATCACGCCACTGCACTCCAGCCTGACGACAGAGCAAGACTCCAAAAAAAAAAAAAAAGGACTAAGAGGTCTGTATCTTTGAGAGATACATATAATAACATATTGCCAGGGATTTATTTAAAATCATCTGAGGTGAAGACAGGACAGGGAGTAAGGGTAGGGCTGGAACACGACTGGTCGGATATTGATGATTCAGGTTGAGGCCATAGCCTCTCTACTTTGTAATGCACTTGAAAATTTCCAAAATAAAAACACAGAAACAATTTCATGAGTTCAGGCCAAGGCAGGCAGTTAGCCTTGAGCTCAGGAGTACGAGACCAGCCTGGGCAACATGGTGAAATGCCGTCTCCACAAAATACGAAATCTAGCTGGGAATGGAGGCATGCACCTGTAGTCCCAGCTACTCTCGAGGTTGAGGTTGGAGGATCACTTGAGCTTGGGAGGTGGAGGTTGCAGTGAGCTGAGATTGCACCACTGCACTCCAGCCTGGGCAACAGTGAGACCCTGTCTCAAAGAAAGAAAAAGAAAAAGAAAACGGAAATAGTGAAAACAACCAATACATTGGTCAACCCTAATGTTAACTAGGGCATTCTCCTTTTCACTCTAGAAATCAACAATTGGAGCAAAGAACGAAACATTTAGTCTGTCTTTTCTGTGTGTGTGTGCACTGAATTTTAGAGTAACTAAATAGCCATAGTTGACGAGGGAAACTTTTTATTTTATTTTTTTAGAGATGGGGTCTCACCCAGGCTGGTCTCCAACTCTTGGGCTCAAGAGAGTCTCACACCTCAGCATCCCGAGTAGCTGGGACCATAGGCCCTCACACAAAAGCATCCCAGCTGATATATCTGGCTAGAATGTTCACATTAGAAAGTCACCACTTGCAGCTTTGGGAGGTTGAGACAGGAGGATTGCTTGAGGACAGGAGTGGGAGACCAGCCTGGGCAACATAGTGAGATCCCATCTCTACAAAAACTTAGCAGAAATTAGCTGGGCATGGTGGCACACACCTGTCGTCCCAGCTACTTGGGAAGCTAAGGTGGGAGGGTTGCTTGAGCTCAAGAGTGTGAGATTACAGTGACCCATGATCCTACCACTGCACTCTAACCTGGGCAACAGAGATTCCTGTAGGAAGAAGGGAAGGAGGGAAGGAGGGAGGGGGAGAAAGAGAAAAGGAGGGAAGGAGGGAGGAAGGGAAAGAGGGAAGAGGAGAGGGAAAGAAGAAGAGAAGGAAGGAAGGAGGGAGAGAGAGAAGGAGGGAAGGAAGGAGAGAGAGAAGGAGGGAAGGAAGGAGAGAGGGAAGGGCAGAAAGAAACAGAAGGAAAGAATTAGGGAAGGAGGAAAGAAGAGAAGGAGGGAAGAAGGGAGAAAGAGGAGGAAAAAAGTGAGAGGAGGGAAGAAGGGAGGGAGGGATGGAATGAAGGAGGAACACAGTGAGGGAGGGAGAGAGGAAGAGAAGGAGGGAAGGAGGGAAGGAGAGAATGAAAAGAGAAAAGGAGGAAAGGAGGGAAGGAAGGGAGGGAGGGAAGAAGGAAAGGAAGGGAACGAGGGAGAGAGGGAGGGGGAGGGATGGAAGAAAGGAAAGGTCACCACTCGCAATCCTTAATGCGATAATTTATTCAAACAAGGACCATCAATAGATGAAACCATTAGGGTTGGGTGGAAGTTTGATGAGGCAACTTACAAAAGGGATCAGGCGTTCCCCTCATGGATCCACTGATCAATTTTGGCATCACTGAAAGGGATAATGACCATGTACCCCTGGCATAGTGCAGTCAGCAGGAAGTACATGGTACCACCTATGAAACACTCTTCCTCTGAGAACTGACTAGGACTCTAATCGAGCCTCTAGAGGTAACGGAGTTAAATTAACCCACTTTCTTCAGCAAATCAAAATCATTTATTAAAAAGGCACATGAAGTCAGGCACAGTGGTTCTTACATGTAATCTCAGTGCTTGAGAGGCTGAGGCAAGAAGATCCCTTGAACCCAGGAGTTCAAGACCTGTGTGGGCAACATGGCAAGACCTCATCTTTACAGAAATACAAACAATTAGGGAAGCATGGTGGTGCACGCCTGTAGTCCCAGCTACTTTGGAGGTTGAGGTGGGAGGATCACCAGAACCTGGAGGTCAAGGCTGCACCAATCCTTGATCATGCCACTGCACTCCAACCTGTGTGACAGAGCGAGACCCTGCCTCGAAAAAAAAAAAGAGGCAGAGGGGTTGCTCTGTGTGTGTGTGTGTGTGTGTGTGTGTGTGTGTGTGTGTGTGCTGGGGAGTGCTTTAGATGAACACTTCAGAGGCAGAGTGAGCACTTTGTGTGGGACAAATAAAACTACAGAATTGTTTTTAAGGCATCTAAACATTCTGACTATTTCATAACGAGGAATAACTGCTCAGTTTTTTACATATATGGCTATGCAAGAAGTGTCCACCTTTTAAGAGTTTAATATTGAAGTATATGAGGATGAAGGGACATGGTGTCTGGGGTTTGCTTTAAAATACTTAGGAAAAAGAGGCCGGGAGCAGTGGCTCACACCTGTAATCCCAGCACTTTGGGAGGCCGAGGCAGGCGGATCACTTGAGGTGAGGAGTTTGAGACCAGCCTGGCCAACATGGTGAAACCTCGTCTCTACTAAAAATACAAAAATTAGCTGGGCATGGTGGTGGGTGCCTGTAATCCCAGCTGTTCGGGAGGCTGAGGCAGGAGAATCGTTTGAACCTGGGAGGCAGAGGTTGCAGTGAGCTGAGATCATGCCACTGCACTCAAGCCCAGGTGACAGAGCAAGACTCTGTCTCAAAACAAACAAACAAACAAACAAACAAACAAACCTTAGGAAAAAGAAACATAGATTAGAAAGGGAAAAGAATGGAAAGAGAAAGCGGAAGTGCCCTAATCTCAGTAACTGTGGAATCTGGCAATGGGTGTGTGGAGATTCCTTATGCTATCCTCTCTACTTTTGCACATTTTAGAAAACTTTATATGGTAGGGAGATGTTATTACCATTACACAGAAAAGAAGGTCCATTCTTGTTTTTTTGTTTATTGAGTTTTTTTTTTAAAAGAGATGGGGTCTTGCCATATGGCCCACGCTGGAGTGCAGTGGTGCCGTCATGTCTCACTGGAGCCTCCAACTTCTGGGCTCAAATGATCCTCCCACTTCAGCCTCCCAAGTAACTAGAATCACAGCCACGCACCACCACACTCAGCTTTTTTTTTTTTTTTTTCTTGTAGAGACCAGGTCTTGCTATGCTGCCTAGGCTGGTCTTGAACTCCTGGCCTCAAGTGATCCTCCCACTTCAGTCTCCCAAAGTGCTGGGATTACAGGCGTAAGTCACCATGCCCGGCCTATGATTGTTTGTAGCAAAAGTTTGAGAGGGAAATGTTAAAAGTTAATGTACTCAGAAACTCTTATTTCCCTACCCTTAGTTTATAGGGTTATTTGCTTTAGCCAACAATAATTAAAATTCAGATGCAATAAGACCAACTGGCAGGTGGGAAGACTTTTAAATAAAAGTTCTCAATTCAACGAGCAAATCAGTGAACCACATTCAGATACACAAGATAACAGAAGGAGACAGTTGGCCACCTTCTGTCCCAAACTACACATGCCATGGTCTTGAGTCGTTGGAAATATTTGGTAGAGCATGCTAATAACATTTTCCATAAACTCCCAGAAATCTTGGATTTGCAAAGCCAATGCAAACAGGAAATTCACATTTCTGAAATATCAAGATGCACTTGGCAGTACAGGGGACATTTGTAAAATAGAGAAAACATCCCAGTTAACAGCATAGGCAAGACACCTATCCCTGCCACTTGAATGGCAGTGCCAACTTCCTGCACATCTGGCTTGAAGGGCATTTGGAGAGATGGCGGGAAGGTGATTCCCCGTGAGTTTATGATGGCATCGTAGTTCTGGAGCACAGCAATTAAGATAAAGACACCAGCAGCAACGTTGAAAACTCCTGAAACAATGAATGAATTGTAGGTGTCCTCCTCAAATATTTTCACAGACGTGTTTCTAAGTGCAAGGATGTTAAAGGCTCTCCCAAAGAATCCGAAAATGCTGGCAGTCAGTAGGAAGCGTTGAGCCATGTAAATTTCAAAAGGGAGAAAGGTGTCCTGGTAGCTGTATCGGTAACAGAATTTGGTTGTGGTGCTGTTGGTGCGATGCCGGTAAATGCAGACTCTAAATATTCCCACGCAGGCGATCCCAGGGGGGTAGAGCGGGGTGTCTTTCATGTACCATATTCGCCACTCCACAAGGCCCATGGACGTAGAAGAGAGGATCCATCCTATGGTGGTAAGGGCGAAGACTGAAAATTGGCAGTTGGCACTGTTGCAGAGCCAGGACATGGTGGCAGTGCACCCAGGAAACTACAAACAAATACAGAGCATGGTGAGGGGGGGATTCTGGGACCTGGGACAGCCTCCCAGGTGTTGTATTGGAGAAAGGAGACACTAGACCCTCTCGCTCTGCTAGTGGGAGTGCAGTCTGAGCAAACTTTGTACAGGGCCGCTCCACAATATTTCCCGAAAGCCTTAAAATGCACACACCTTCAGACTGGCAGTTCCACTTCTGGGCATTGGTGCAAAGACATAAATAAGGTTGGCCACAAATATGTTGCCACAAAGATGGTCATCACAGCATTGTTTGTAATATTGGAAACTGGGAAACAACATCAAGTCCAACAATAGGGCATGGTGAAAGAATTTATGCTACGTCTACGCGATGGAGCTATACGCCAACATTGACAATACAAATGGAATCATACAAGGTGTAATAGTTTTGTGTGGCTCTTTTCACATGGCACGGTTTCAAGGGTCATCCATGTTGAAGCAGGTATGAGAAAGCTGTCCCTTTTCATTGCTGAATGGTGTTCCATTGTGTGGATAGACCACAGTTTGTTCATTCATCAGCTTTTGGACATTTGGGTTGGTGCCATGTTTTGGCTATTATAAATAATGCTGTCATGAACACTTGAATATAAAAGTTTGTATGGGCATATGTCCTTGTTTATCTGGTGTAGATGCCTAGGAGTGAAATTGGTGGTTCATATGGTAAGTGCACATTTAACTTTTTATAAATTGCTAAACTGTTTTCCCACGTGGCTGCACCATTTTGTATTCCCACCAGCAATGATGGAGGTTCCAGTTTCTCCATATTTTCTCCAACATTTGGTATTTTTAATGTTTTTCATGACAGTCATTCTAGTTGCCATTCTATGTGACCAAAAGGGAGGTGTCCATAATATTTCAAATACAAATTACATGTTTCAAAATAATATGTATGATATAATCATAGATACAAATGGAACAGAAAGTCTATATCCTAAGCTATTAGGAAACATTTTTAACTGGGTTTGAGAGATTCTGAGTTTTTTCTAGCTATTTGGATTGTGAAGGGTCACACACATATAGAAAAGCACACAAGTGTGCAGTTCAATTAATGATGATGGGGTGAACACCCATGGAGCCACCATTGCATTTCAGATACACAATATTCCCACTTCCTTGCTTGCTTTCATAGTTTTATCATCTCAACATGCATCCCCACACACCTTACTTCTATTTTGCCTGTTTTTCAAAATGGGGATCATATGGTCAATGCTTTTGTGTGACTGGTTTCTTTCACGCAATGTTGTGTCCATTTGTGACAGATTGTAATTTTTTAATGGTGCCTGGCTGTTCAGTATTTTCAAATATTTCTGCAATAAGCATGATTATTTAAAATAAGAAAACAATAAAAAATATTTCATGAAACAGTTGTCTCAGGAAACTTGCCTGAGCCCAGGAGTTTGAGACCAGTCTGGACAACATAGCAAGACCCTGTCTCCAATAAAAAAGTTGTCAAGCAATGGAAGATTGATTAATTTGAGTACATAAATACACTTTACTACCTAGTATATGTTAAACTGAAGCCATTCATTTATTATAATACTTTGCAGATAGTAAAGTAGAAAAAGATTTAGTAACATGGGAAAATGTCCATGGTGCATTGAATCTAAAATGCAGGTAACAAACTCGTTAGTATATATAGTAGTATAATCTTATTTTTGCCTATCATAAAATATGCTGGGAAGCTAAAATGAGATGCATCTAAATATTAGGATTACTGATTTTTCTTTTCATGTCTTAAAGTATATTACTTTTTAATTGGAAAAAATGGTGAGCATAGAGAGACACAAACATAAAAGTGTATTAATTAATTATCAAGAATAAGGCCAGGCATGGTGGCTCACGCCTGTAATCCCAGCACTTTGGGAGGCCGAATAGGGCAGATCTCTTGAGGTCAGGAGTTTGAGCCCGGCTTGGCCAACATGGCGAAACCCCGTCTCTGCTAAAAATACAAAAATTAGCCAGGCGTGGTGGTGCACGCCTGTAGTCCCAGCTACTTGGGAGGCTGAGGCAGGAGAATCGCTTGAATGCAGGAGTCATAGGCTGCAGTGAGCAGAGATAGCACCACTGCACTCCAGCCTGGGCAACAGAGCGAGACTCTGTCTCAAAAAAAAAAAAATTATTATCAAGAGTAATAAAAACATGGGTGTCTCCTGACCCAATCTCCCACTTCTTGGAATTAATTCTAGTGGACAAATCAGAGAAGTGGGATCAAAGTGTCTGGGCACTGATGCTCACCAAGGGTGTTGCTGACACTAGGAGTAAGAGAAATCTGGAGACAAGTAATATGTGAAGCAATACGGATGCTTAAGTACATTTCATAATTCCAGGTGATACAGCATATTATTCAACCATTTACAATGAAGTCTTCAAAAGCATTTTAATGACAGGAAATTGTCACTGTTTGCTAAATGGGAAAAGGATGCAAAAGAATGTATAAATATACATGTTGTTTTTTATATATATGTGTGTGTATGTTTGTGTGTCTCTTTGTGTGTTTGTATGTTTGTGTGTATTTGTGTGTGTCTCCTTGTGTATTTGTGTCTCCTTGTGTGTGTGTTTGTGTGTGTGTATGTGTGTAGTTGTATGCCGTCAGTTTTGTTTTTAAAAGACACCCACATGTGGCCGGGCGCGGTGGCTCACGCCTGTAATCCCAGCACTTTGGGAGGCCGAGGTGGGTGGATCATGAGGACAGGAGATTGAGACCATCCTGGCTAACATGGTGAAACCCCGTCTCTACTAAAAAAAAATGCAAAAAATTAGCCAGGCGTGGTGGTGGGCATCTGTAGTCCCAGCTACTCGGGAGGCTGAGGCAGGAGACTGGCGTGAACCTGGAAGGCAGAGCTTGCAGTGAGCCGAGATCTCACCACTGCACTCCAGCCTGGGCAACAGAGTGAGACTCCATCTCAAAAAAGAAAAAGACACCCACATGTATACGCAGAAAACTTTGAAAGGCTCTCCTGGGTGCTGGGAAGGGTGCAGAGGAGTAGTTCACATACCTCTCCCGACTCCCCAAGGAAGATCCACTCTGGAAAGAGATACTCATTTTTAAGTAACGAATAAAGATGGGATGAAATAGACATTGTGAGTGGAAGGAAGGAAGGAAGGAAGGGGGGGAGGGAGGGAGGAAGGGAGGGAGGGAGGAAGGAAAGAAAGAATTGCTGGAGAACATTGAGGGTCTGAACTTTATCGAGGAGGCACGCTGGGGAGGGATGGGTCAGAGGTTGTTCCAGGCTGATGTCAGAAATCCCTCCTAATGGCCAGAACATTCCTGGCAGATGCCACATTTATAGCATCATTCTTTTTGGCAAGATAATCTTGAACAAATGATTATTATTATTATTGAGACAGAGTCTCACTCTGTCTCCCAGATTGGAGTGAAGTGATCATAGCTCAATCAGCCTCAACCTGCTGGGCGAAAACCATCCTCCCGCCTCAGCCTCCCAAGTAGCTGGGACCACAGGCGTGTCCCACCACACTCAGCTAATTTCTTTTTGTATTTTTTTGTAGAGATGGGGGTCTTGTTATGTTGCCCAGGCTGGTCTTAAACTCCTGGGTTCAAATGATCCTCCCACATCGGCCTCCCAAAGTGCTAGAATTATAGGCATGAACCACTGTGCCTGGCTCAATAACTGTATTTCAAAATAAGTGTAATCCTGGGCATCTTGTTTTTGCATCTTTTCTGGAGAAAGGTCCGTAGGCTTCACTAGGTATCAAACAGGTTCATACACAAAAGAAATATCCTTTTTTGGCATATTTCGAGATGGCTCTTCAGAGAAGATGCAGACATAGGAACAGCCCTTTGTGGAGACAAGTGACTCCATCTTCAATGCTAATCCAGCAGTGTTGACTTTTGATTAACACCAGTCCTGTGAAGGCCTTCTGATTCCTACTTTATTTACCATCCTTAGTGTAAGAACATATACTAACTATAAATATAAATATTTTTTTGAGACAGAGTCTTGCTCTGTCACCCAAGGCTGGAGTGCAGTGGTGTGTGATCTCCGCTCACTGCAAGCCCTCCTGGGTTTCAGCGAGTCTCCTATGTTAGCCTCAGGTGGGTGGATCACCTGAGGTCAGAAGTTTGAGACTAGCCTGGCCAACATGGTGAAACCCTGTCTCTGCTAAAAATACAAAAATTAGCTGGGCATGGTGGTACACACCTGTAGTCCCAGCTACTCGAGAGGCTGAGGCAGGAGAATTGCTTGAACCCAGGAGGCGGAGGCTGCAGTGCTGAGATTGCACCACTGCACTCCAGCCTGGCAACAGAGCAAGACTCTGTCTTAACAACAACAACAACAACAACAAAACTAAACTGAACAAACAATTGTCATGTGATCCAGGGGGCCAGGAGTGGTGGCTCACGCCTGTAATGCCAGCACTTTGGGAGGTTGAGGCGGGTGGATCAGATCACCTGAGGTGAGGAGTTCGAGACTAGCCTGGCCAACATGGTGAAATCCTGTCTCTTCTAGCAAAAAAAAAAAAAAAAAAAAAAAAATAGCTGGGCGTGGTGGTATGTCCCTGTATTCCCAGCTCCTTGGGAGCCTGAGGCACAAGAATTGCTTGAACCCGGGAGGCGGAAGTTGCAGTCAGTCGAGATTACACCACTGCACTCCAGCCTGGGTGACAGAGGGAGAGTTCCTCTTAGAAAAAAAAAAAAAAGAATTGCTATGTGATCCAGCAATTCCATTTCTGGGTATATACCGAAAAAGATGTGAAAGCAGGGACTCAAAGACATATTTCTACACCCATGTTCGTAGCAACGTTATTCACAGTAACCAAAGGCGGAAACAAACCAAGTGCCCCCCCACAGACAGTGGAAGTCAAATGTGGTCTATACCGACGCCAGAAATACGATCTCTGTCCACAGTCTCAAAAATGAAGGAAGTTCGGACACAGGCTACCACATAAACGAACCTCGAAGACATTACACTGAGTGAAAGAAGCCACTCACAAAAGGACAAATACTGTTTGGCTCCCCATACGGGAGGTACCTATAATAGAGAGTCAAACTCATAGACAGAAAGTAGATGGTGGTTGCCAGGGGCTGGCGGGAACTAATGGGAAGTTCATGTTTCACAGGGACAGAGTTTCATTTGGGAAGATAAAAAGTTCTGGAGGTAGACAGTGGTGACAGTTACCCAACAATTACATGTACTTACTACCACTGAACTGTACACTTAAACAGCTAAAATGGTCAATTTTGTGTTACATATACTTTACCACAATGAAAAAAAATACACAATAAAGAAGGAACGAACCTCTGCTACCTGGTGACGTGGTCTCCACATGAACCAGTAGCTTAAGGGGAGGGCAGTCAGCTCACCTGGCCAGCGGGGCCGACATGGACACAG